GGTTCCATTAAAATGATGCCCCACTCAATGGCGGCTCCATTTGCTCTTTAGATTTAACACAGGCCATATGTCTAGCAGGAGGCAAACAGCTGATGGGGTTTAATTGACAGAAATCAACATATTTGGTTGTGTGTGTGTGTGTGTAGTTTCCTTTCTCTTTATGAATGGAATGGTTAGGTATCGATTATTAGTATTAGGCTCTGGTATTTACGAGTAAAGGCAGTACCTGGAAGAGGATGATAAAGCCGGTATTGTTCATACATAGCACATTACACACCTCTTTTTCACTGGTACAGGGTGAGAGGAGGTAACTGAATGAATCAAGACAATCTCATGAAACTCTAGTGCACACCCACAAAAATTGAGCAATCCTTCTGTTGGGTTGTGACTTTTAGGAATGTTTTCTTACGTTGATCCTGGTGTTAAACATTTCTCTGCCCTTGAACTGGTTTAATAATAATTTGGTTGTCGATTTTTCTTAGACTATGTCAGTTCGTGATTCTTTATGGTCTCCAGTAGCAGATTAATAGTTTACTTCAAATACATTTAGTCACTAACATATTTTTAAAGTCACTAATTGCACTTTTCACAAATAATTGAATGTTTGCATCCACAGCAACTGATAAATAACTTATTTTTAAAAGAAACTGTTGCTCGATTGCATACAGTAGACCTCCATGAACACAGCTCAGCTCATCTGTATGCAGACACATAAGAAAGGCATCCATGTCGTTGTCTCAATCTGAGTCTGCAAGGCAAAGACACAAATATACAAAACTGTATATTTAGCTAATTCTGCCAACGTGCTACAAATTCCATAATGTAATCTCATATGACTAATAGCTTCATCAGCATAAAAAGACATTTCTTACTCAACCAACTGGTTCGTGATTTAACGAGATGTGGCAGGCCTACTTGGTCATATTTTTCGTCGTATTATATCTATCACCAGAACATCTTAATTGCCTTTTGTCCATTCCTCCACATACAGGTATTCCATGGTGACGGCTATGGGCTACTTGACAGTGTGCCAAGTGAGCAGAGTCTTCATCTTTAACTATGGAATACTGTCCACTGACTTCTCTGGGTAAGGAGAAAAAAACGTAATCACTCAGGTGTCTCACTTCTTCTTTTTTCGTTGCCACACCTTTGTGGTGACAGCATGCTAGTCATTTCATTTATAGAGCAATTCTAATTTTATCAGTTAACGTTTCCAAACTGTGTTGTACCTGTTCACACATTCACCAGTGCCACGACCTTGTGTAAATACAACACCACTGATTAAAAAGCAGCAGTGTGGATTGTTCACAGTTGACACTGCCCAGACAGGTAGAGTTGAGGTACTCACGCACTACTGCCTCCTGGCAACTGTGACTTTGTTGTGTTAGAAACAAGGCTTCTTCTAAAGGATTAGGCAGTCTGTATATTTAAAGGGTTTCTTTTCATTACAACGGTACATGCTCTTTTTCTCACTCTACAAGAATCTTAAAGAAGTGCTAAAAGAAGAACTTAACGTAGTAGGAGGGAAAGATGAGCAGTGACTCCCGGTCATTGCTCATTATTTCATAAATGAAAGATTGCAACCACAAAAATGACTAAAATCAGAACTTTGCCCACAGGCATTTACATGTAACTTAATTTAATAGCTATGTTCACATTGATGGCATGTAGTTTCTTTTAATAAAGAGGTTATAACATATTGGTTATTTCATTGTGGACCACAGTTGGGTCTCCCTGGTTTAACTAAAAAAAACAAAAAAAAAACATATTTAACTAACCATGGAGTTACAGATAATGTCAGGATAATGCCTGAGGTGTGGTACCACTGGAAAAAATCATTCCAGAGTGGATGTTATAGTGTTTCTTTTAAAAGGTAACAGCTGACTTTGGTGGCTCCTGTATTCAGCAACTTTTTTTGCACAGTTCTGGTGTGGATGAATTTGCTGGCAACCTCAACTGCACTCCGCGTGACTTTGGTGATGAGAAGCCAGGCCTGTGAGTCAGCCTTTGGGAGGGTCGTATATTAAATTACAGATACAGCTTCTTTAGGCTTACAGACTGCACACATACTTGGTTGTGAATCACACAGATGATGTTTATATGTGTAACTTCACACAAAGGCTTTGATGAAGTAATCCAATGCCAAAGGAAGTACTTAAAATAAGGTTCTTTGTTTCTGTGGGCTTATTTTTTAACACCATTCATTTATGTTGGTAATTATCTGTTTTCTACTGTTGTGTTGTCCTCATTATCACCTTGACATGTTGTGTTTCTTTCGCTGTTGGAGGATGCCAAACACAGTTAATATAGAGCTTGTCTCTACAGTCTGTGTGCTATCGTCCCTTTTGTCAGTGAGCATTTCCATAAGCTGATGTTTTCTAGATTTGGCAGAAAGGCAGAACTGAATCTAAACTAGGTCAAAATCTTGTCTAGAGTCCCAATCTTGGAGTCTTTGTGGAAAAACAGAGTCTGTAGGCTACAGTGGTGAAGGTTGCACACCCTGAAAATGTTTCTCTAAATCCCACTGCCAACTCTCATTGAGCTGGCACTGCCAGACGCTCGGCCAGCCCCTCTGCCTCGGTTTTCCATGCAGTGCACACAATGCAGCCCAATCACACACAGGAACCAGTGTGTGTGAGAGTGAGAGCGTGTGTGTGTGTGTGTGTTTGTGAGAGGGAGAGATGTAGTTTATGCGTGTCTTTGTGCACACGCATTCTTGGGACAGAGAGGTCTCTATCTGTGGATGAAACCAGGAGAGGGGGTGTGAAACTAGTCTGTGCAGACTTACTGTACAGGACCTCATTGCCCTCCATGTCACCTCACTCCCTGATAACTTAAACCAAATTAAAACTAAAACACCAGCTGTTGTTCACCTAGTTTACTATATTTGTGTGTACTGGGAGCTTAACAAGATAAAGCTGTACTGGTTTCAAAGGGAGGTTACGTGAAAATGTGTTGATTTGAATGAATTGCATTGGATGAATAAGTGAGCCTCTTTTAACACTACTGGAAAAGAATGAAATATGAAATGAAAGAAGTGATTCATGGGGGGGAATAAATTCTGTCGCCTCAGAGAGAAGCTCAGTGGCGCTTGCTTGGGACATGCTTTGTTTCAAGTCAGTCATACTGTATAATAAATGACTGAAAAGCAGTGTGTGTTTTACAGTTGAACTGAACAATAAAATTCTTTTTATTTTTTCTGCTCAGGCCTCTGATGATAGTAACCCAGAAGATCACAACACTGGCTTTTCAGCTTCATGATGGTAAAGCAGAGGAGAGGATGCTCACAAACACACACACACACACACACACGCCCTTAAAGGTCCAGTGTGTAGTATTCAGTGGCATCTAGTGGTAAAGTTGCAGATTACAACCATTTGAATACAGCTCAGCCTTCCAAGCATATAGGAGAAGCTACGGTGGCCATGAAAAAAAGACCCTATCAAGAGTCAGTATGTGGTTTGTCCATTCTGGGCTACTGTAGAAACATGTTGGTTCAATGTGGTGGCATCTGAAGAGAACCCACTCCCTTGAAAACATACCAATGTATATCATTTGCCAATAGACCATTCTAAATGTTACACACTGGACCTTTAATAATGGAGGCAACATTATCTCACAATTACTTAACATTTAAGATTAAGCCTGGCCTTTCACTGCACACTTTCTGACAGCATGACAGGAAACCAGCATGCAATACGAGGACCCTGAAACTCATCATTCATTTTATTGTTTGGTGAAATGGAGGTTACTCATGAGTTCATCTCTTATTTTTCAGGTATGTGTAAGAAATCTGAACAACTGACCCCGGAGCAGAAACTTCTGGCTATAAAGTAAGTTTTTACTGTCTGTAAAACATACAAATGACTTTTTTTTATACAGTGGTAATTGTATGTTGCAGTGTGAAACATCAGGATATAGACTTTTTGGAGATAAGTAACAATAATAATAAAGTGGAGGTTTCTGATTCCTCTTCTTTTTTCCTTACTGATTTAATAGATTATCTTTTACATCTGTCCTTAGAGGTGCACATACAATAGTTCACACTGTGCTGGACCTAATGTCCCTGTCAAAGTATATATGCATGCACAGAAGGTTGCATCTGAATTAACACCTTATTTAAAGAATGAATAACTGTTTCTTTTCCTTTAGCCACAAAGGACAATGACAAGGAGATGCAATCATGGTGAATAGCTTGTTCATGTAAAAAGCATGCTGGGGACTTAGAAAAGAGGCTTCATTTTGCATGGGAAATATTACATGTTCATGCATGTGATGTGATAAAACCACATTTATCAGTGTACCATGCATGCTATTTCAGAATTAATTTAAAAATGTATCAAAAATGATCATAGCACATAGTTGCTCTTAATTTAGTGATTGATCTAGATTTCTGTGCTCCCTGTAGGTTTAGATATCACTTAAGTTTTATTGATTCTGTTTTTATTTATCAATTCTGGTTGTACTGTAAACATTATATACAAGCTTTGAGGCACGTCTAACCAGCTATGTAGACTGAATCTCGTTAGGTCAATACTTTGCTTTCATGAATGAATAAACTTAAATAAAAAGTACATTTATGACTTCCTGGTTCCTTTAAAATGCTGTGTAACTGCTGTAATCAGAGGGCCCAAGGAACCATTTAAAACCTAATTTATAACATTTGGGATGTCTTGGTGTAAAATATTAAAAAGTAACTTTTTGTCCGTCAAAGAATGTTTGCTTTTATGTAAAGAGGTTTATATGCCAAGCAATAATACATGTTTACAAGAGCCCTTTTTTAAATTATGAATTTTTTTTATTATTTAAAAATGAACGGCATGCTTTTCTCACATCTCCACCCAACTTAGATGAAAATATACATTAACACTGTTGCATTTCACCTGAAGTGATCACTGCAGTCAATGCTGAAAACAAAGGGGTTCTCGGTTTCGTTTTCAGTGATTTCTGATGTTGTTCTTTCTGCAGTGTGAGGCCTTCTCTCATCGAATACCTGAGTTACAATCTGAACTTCCTGAGTATCTTGGTGGGACCATGCACTAACTATAAGGACTACACAGACTTCATAGAGGGCCAACACATTAGCAGGAGGCTCAGGCAGCACTCTGCGACATGTAATGGTCAGAACGGCTATGATAAGACACCGGACCCGTCACCTCTGGTAGGTTCATGATTTTACTCAATGACACAACATAACCTGGGACTAGTAGGAGTGGTTTTAAATCTGTCTGTCTATTCTAGACCACACTTTTCTAGTGAGCAGTAGGTGTATTGTGAGACAGAGCACACTGACACTGTATTGTGTGAATGTGACACTACTAATAATAAGTGTCTAATTTTAAATTTTGTATTTGGTCTGAAATCTGAAATAAATTCATCATAAGGCAATAATGAAATGAGACATTTCTTGGCTGGTGTGGACATTAACATTAGTCTCCTCTAGGTCCAATAGTATTTGGGCATCCAGAGGTGTACACCGATCCAATAGGAACATCCTTCAATTTAAAGAAAAAAGTGTAACCTGAACTTTTCAGGAGTAGATGGACATAGTGAATGGATTCAGTAGATCTGAGCAACAAACCAATATTTGGTTTCTGTATGTTTTCTCTGCAGAGCGCAGTCTGTAAAAAATTGCTGGTCTGCTGCGGCTGTATGCTGTTCTTCCTCACTGTGACCCGGTCCTTGCCGATAACGTACAACGTGGACCCCCACTTTGTCAGCCAAACCCCCTTCCTCACCAGACTCACCTACGCTTTCTTCTCCATACAAGCAGCAAGGCCCAAATTCTACTTTGCTTGGACACTAGGTGAGCCCTGTGTGTGTAGTTGGACTATTGTCAGCTGGTATGACATGGTGTGATGATGGGAACATGAGCTGCATTGTTACTGCCATGTATGTCATGTGTTTTTTTTTCTCCTTCTTGTCAGCTGATGCAGTCAACAATGCTGCAGGTTATGGTTTCTTGGGAATGGATGAAAATGGAAAGCCATCTTGGGACCTCATATGCAACCTCAACATCTTGGGGATTGAGGTACCTTCAGTGTTTAACATAATTTAAAAAACAGAACATTGCTGTGTTAAATGTTGTGCACATTTATGTCATTCAAAGTCTGGCAATGACTAAATTGTTATTTATTGGTTGTGTTCTTTAGACTGCAACCAGCTTCAAGACATTTATAGACAACTGGAATATTCGAACCGGAATTTGGCTCAAAACGTAAGTGCCTCAGTACGTCTACAACTTCAGTACGGTTCATTTGCTTTCCTAGCTTTTCATTTCCCAAACTCTTGTGAATATGTCCCATTCCTTTCATCTGCTCAGGGTGTGTTATGACCGAGCCCCTAGGCACAGGTTGCCGTTAACCTTTGTCCTGTCTGCCCTGTGGCACGGTGTTTATCCTGGGTACTATTTCACCTTCATCACTGCCATTCCAATCACCATGGCAGCACGAACTGTGAGTACTGTACCTCCTCTGGAAATTCAAATTAATACTTGACTGTGCACTTCCAAAGAAAATGAACAGTCTACAAATTGGACAATCAGTATTTTTTTCCATTGTTCCAATTGCAATTGAAATGTTGATAACTTTATTAAATTTTACACACATATTTGTCAAAAGTAATTAAACATTATTATACCACAGCAAACTAAATTATATAGCTTTAGTAGTCTAAATTCATACAATCTGAGACATTTTTTGAAGGAACGTAATCAATTCTTGTCATGGAACTTAACTGGGTTCGTTAGAATTACATCAACAGCATAGCTTAAATACACTAATCCTTTCACTGGTGCTAAAACCGTTACTTATCCTTCTCTGTTTATCGGTCTCACCCCACCAGGTACGGAAGTCTGTCCGCCACTACTTCCTGGCTTCTAGAGCCTTGAAACTGGGTTACGACATCTTAACTTGGGCAGCCACCCAGCTAGCCATCTGCTACACTGTCATGCCTTTTCTACTTCTTGCAGTAGAGCCCACTTTGATTTATTACAGGTATGTAACACTCACCTTTAGTCCTCTTATCCATTCAAGCCCAATTGAAAATGCACATCAGTTATTACCAAAGCCCACGCTGACTTTTTCAGATGTCGTGATTTGCTTAACCAGCAGTCTAGCTAACAACTAAAGATATTCATTTTACTATCATTGAAGACTTTACATACAAAAATATACACTTTTGAGAAGCTGGAATCAAAGAATTTTGGCAAAATGACTGAAAACTATTAATTGTTTATCAAAACAGCTGCTGATGTATTTTCTGTCAATGAAGTAATCATTAGCCTACAGCTCTAGTGTAAATATATTAGCAGGCTTTTTGTGGCATATAGATGGTTTAAGTTACAGAAGTTACACTGTTTTCCTCCTTTCTTTCCTAGGTCTATGTACTTCCACGTGCACATCATTAGCATTCTGGCTGCGATCGCCCTGCATCATAAGCACAAACCCCGGGAACCCTCTCCCACCACTAAAACGTTTTCCTCCTCCCCATTCTCGTCTTCGTGCTCAGCCCAGTGCCAGCCTGTTCACTCCAACAACAATGACAAAGTAGACTGAAAAACCCCCTCTTCACGTTCTTTTACCAAACTCTCAGTCCATGGTGTTCTCTCAAAGACTAGTGAATATCCCTTAAGGGCATTCAACCAATTTAAAATGGGAAAACATTGTGTTATTTATTTTTTGGGACAGAGTAAAGAGTTAGGACTAAAACCTTGACCGTACAAGACGATGCAGGATGTCAACCTATGGCACTGGATGTTCATGGGGAAAGCTTTTCTACCATACAGTGAGATTGAGACAATACATCAAACATAAGCTCAACAGGCAGACTGCAAACTGAAACATTAGCTGAGGGAACGTCTCTGGCCCCACCACCATCCACTTTCCCCTCCACCTGCCCCCTCTCTCCTCCACTGTCCCCCCTCCTTGCCCATCTCAACACCAGCCTGCCTGCTCCAACAAACAATACAACAGAGTGAAGAGAGAAAGGAGGCTCACTTTCTTTCCTGTCCTCTATCTGCGCTGTCCAACTGACCGATGGGATGTAAGCCAGCACAGTAGAGGGCAGCTCATAAACGGGGCATAAATACCAGCGCGCACAAAAACAAACACAAACACAAACTCATGCATAAACAGGCAACACACTAGGAAACAAATATTCATACCCTCTCTTAGACACGCTCATACTTGGTCACAGTTTAATAGCATACAAAGGCTGCCCTTGTGTGGCCACAACAAAAGAGCATACCAAGAGGAGAGAGAACCCTGGTGTGTGTGTGTGTGGGTGGGTGGACCTTATCATGAAAAACTGTGGACTGTGTCGGTATTTCTCCCACTGTTAGTTTGTACCAGCTTGGGGCAAAGACACTTGAAATACCAATTAGACCATGCAGTTCTCAAACTGTCCAGTGAAACCATTACTAGTCTTTTAAGGCCAGATTTCAGCTCCTCCTGGTGAGGAGGCTTCACTATGCTGTAGAACAAGTAAACACTATCTATAATCATGGGCTTTAGCTATACCCGAGTAAACATAAAGGAAAGGCTAACAAATAGCTGAAGAATACATTGTGCAACATAACAACAACTATGTTGTTTTGCATTGCACATTTGTAACAAGTGATGAAATGCTGCAATCTGAGCACACATTTTCAATAACTTAATGAACGTAGTCAGACTTTCCCCACGAAATCTCATTGTGGGCTAAAGCAGTAGGGGATTTAATAGTGCCGTACTTCTTAATGTGTTAGTATTTACCATGTGATAGGTGCTGGATACCTATTATCATTATCATTATCATTATCATTATTATTATTATTATTATTATGGTACAGAGTAATTGAATAAAAAGCTGAGGTGAAGCTGAGAATACATTTGATGTTTCTCTTTTTGGGAGGAAGCCATTGCACACTCAAAGAATGGAAAGTATGAACAAAAATAGGAATTTATATATCAAAAGTATTTTTTCTCAGTAGGAGCAGGGTGCTGTGTTCTGTCGCTCTGTGAAAGAACACATTTGAAAACTGTTGTTCTACCAGAGCTTATCAACAGCGGCAGGTTGATTTAACAGAGACATCTGCTGGTTGTTTGTACTGTCTGAACTCTGCTGAAGTAATGAAGGTAGGCCAGTTGGGACTGACTGAAACGGTCACGCTGCAGTATCTCCCAGTGCAACTTCAAACTAACCATGAGCAGAAAGCATATTTTTCCACTTATATTACAAATTTCTCAGCAATATTCACAATTTCTTCTCTTCACTAGCTTTTACTTTTGCACAATCGAAGTTAATGAATCAGAGGGTGATGCTTATGATTACAGATCAGCTAAGCACTTCATTCATTATTTGTTGGGGTTTTTTTGCATCAAGAATGGATCACTCAGTGGAGGTTTGGCATTTGGAGTTTTTAAAAGTGGCACGGTGGCTTGGTTAGCAATGGTGCTATCTGCTGCAGGCTAGCATGTTAACTTATACATTTAGGGGTCAGTTCTTAAAAAAGTTTGCTAACAATGCTAACAAGTTGCAATGCAAGAATATATTTTTGGTAGTGTAACAGTACACAGTAAAGATGACATACTGAAGGTTATGTCAGGTTATCCCGTTAAATGCATTTTATGGGTTGCCTAATGAACATGCAGTTTATTCCTGTGGTTTAACAGCCTGTTTTTTGTGGTTAATCATGTTAGAGACACAATCTAAATGCATTTCATTACCTGCTTTGGAATTTAATCAAAACTTTTTGACTACTGGAAAAATGTATACTTTGGACTTGCCTGTTTTGGCATTGACTCAACCTCTAGTTCTTAATATGTAAAGGCTCACAGTAGAGCCTGTTTGTGCAAGAAAAACATCAGACTATGTAGACTTGTTGTCTATTTTTCTGTCGAGACATCAGTGTCATGTGAAAATCACACTTCTCAACTTTGCTGTGACAAGTACCCAGTTCACAGGCAAGTGTCGATATCAGGAGTGGGCATGTATTGAATTAACACTTATTATTCAGTTAATACCAATAATGGGAATTATTTGAGATTTTAAGGGAAACAAGAAGGAGGGGGCATGTGCATCAAGCTATTTCCCCTTGGCTAATTAGAATGAATCTCTTTTTGACTACATCTCTTAACTTTTGGGTCATTTTGGAGAAAAATATGACGATATTTAATGTTTGTGGATTGTTTTAATGTTTAACAACACAGTAAAACATTTCCTGGAGTTAATGAAGCTTCAGTAGTGACTGCTTTGGGGACCTGTAGACTCTTTGCAAGAGGCCTGCAATTCTAAACATTTTGGCCTGAAAAATGCTGGTGCTAAATGCCAATGGTGTTACAGTTAGTCCCCACAACAGCCACTGTTGAAGGCTGACTGTACCTAAACTCCTCAAGAAGTGCTGAAAAGTGAAAACACTCCTCCCAAGTATGGCTTTGCTATAACATAGAATTGTTTTTGTGAGACAAAGCCCTTATTAACTGATATGGAACTAGTTATAACCCTTAAATGTGTTGTTACCAATAACATGTACATTGCACTGTATGTATGCTTGTTGCTAATGTTTTTAGTGCAGGGAAATGAGCGATGAGTGGCACATATACAGTATGAATGTGTTGTCAGAATGAGCAGCTATTTGAATGACTGATTATGAAGATGTTTTTTGTATGTGTTGTTGATGTGTGTGATCAAATATACTGACTTTGTGTGTGTGTGTGTGTGTGTGTGTGTGTGTGTGATATTTTCTGATATTGCCCCATTGCTCCATTTTAGTATTGTTTGTATAGAGGAAAGCGTGAGTGGTATAAAAAACTGTTGATTAACAAATAAAGATTCAGTGAAACAAATTATTATTTGTCGAAGTTTGAATTTCTTGATATAAAAATTTTTTTTTTTAGTTGGTATGTAATTTACTTAATAATGTATTTTTTGTATTCTAACTTAAGTGATGTAAATATAAATACCTTTTAGGATCCAGTAGGTTCCAGTGAGTCGTATTTGTTTTGTATGTGTTACATTTTACTCTCATTCTCACTCACACCATCAAGTCAAACCCTCTATATGCGACGCCTGTCCCAAGCTGTTTAATCTCTGATGATGTTCTTGAAATGCCTGCCCCTCTGTCCCTTGTGTCACCTGTCTGTTCCCTTCTGACACTGTTATGCTTGTGTGTGCGCGCTGTGTTTTGATCCAACCGGGTCAAACAGACAACTAATAACCAGGGGAACAGAAGTAAATGGACAAAGATGACAACGAGTAACAACAAAACATACTTAAATTGCTGTAATTTTAGAGTATGTTCCACTTTAGGTCTTTAGTGATTACATTGCCTGCTTTCTTCTGCACAGACAGGACAATCAGTCTTATACTGAGCGCAAAAACTATGGAAAATATAGGTTATATAACCTAGGAGTATAGATAAAATAGTTATTTAATTGGTCACATTTAAAAATGTATGTGTAGATATAGAAGTCAAGCTTCTAAAGACATACAGAGTAAAGTGGGTGACAAATGGAACGAAAAACCAACAAAGAGTATTAGTGAGGTGCAGGCATTTGCAGACATCTTTGCCGTATTATATTATATTTTTAAAATCATGGAGGGAGGTGGATGGGGGGCTGAAAATGGCCCCCGGGCTGGTAGTTTGCCCCCCACAGCATGACAGCTACCAGAGCCTGGGCCTACTAAGCATTTTATATGAGCATGATTCGATGTTAATTGCCTAATTGTACCATCCAGCGGACCTATGTTTCTACACTTATTTAGTGAGGTTTTTCCTTTCATTTGTCATTCGTCAGTATTCTGTCAGTGTACATATAGTGCTCTTTCTGTACACACAGCTTCAGTAAGTCTACTGGTTTTCTGGGGCTGGAGCAGGGAGCCACAGTTTATAATGTCATATTTAGTCTATAATGACCACTGTACCACCTGCATTCAATTTACATTTACTACTAATCCTCTCTGTGAAAGGTGTTTCTATATTACTGTAACAGCTACAGCGAATTCTAATTATAGAAACAAATGGTGGTGATAACCCATGCATGTAAGCACATAACTCTAGCCAAAAAGCCATTCTGTTTCTAACATTATAATGCACATTATGATTCATAATGATTGTAATGAAAGAATAGAGCCCACACACAATACTCTTCCAACACATATAAAGAACCAGCAGATTATCTCAGTAAATCTGCTGTCAGTATGTCCACTATTGTTATTTTCTCTCAGTACTTTATCAGCCAAACAACCTCACTGCTGTACCCGACAGTGACTTAAGGATGACAGTGTGCCCGTGGGGACAAGTGTTTATTAGATCAAAATGCCTTAACTAACAGGATATCACATAGCACTAGCTCAGTTATTGTGTTATGAATTGGCCGATCATATCAATACTGTAACTTTATCTATAAAAATTAACCTTCACAGGTGACTCTAAACATTTAATATATTTGTCTTTGTAGACCTGTAGGAAATGATGAATGACTGACATGAATATCACATCAGCATAAACCAAATATGTTACTGAGCATAGAGATACAAGAAGCAACAAAAAAGCTTGATCCAGCATTTTTTCTGATTTCTGTTAACAAATGTCAGCAGCCAATATAAATGTTTTCTGTCTTGGTAAAAAAAGTATTTAGTAAGACAGAACTTTGGGAACTCACCCACAGTACATCCCCATAGGGTTTCACTTTATCTGCCTGATGAGACCTCCTCTCAGGACTGTGTGTGTATGTGTGTACATACGTGTACAGACTGCGCTTGACTGACTCTCCTGTTGCACCTTGAATACAGATGTGTGGAATATCTCACCTGCTTTAGTCTGTATAATATTTTTTTCTTCAAGCATTTATTTGAGTTAAACAATCAATTGCTATGACTTACACAGAAACAGACACATAAACATTTTAAACAAATTAAATAAGATTAGTTGCATTTGCCATAAATGAAAATGTGTCATTATCATGGAGAATCCACACCAGGCCAGATGTTTGCAGCCAAGTGGTAACAGTTTAATCAAAGCAGATAAAATAAAGGATGATCACACACAGACTCTCTCTACTCCATTGTTTCCTCTATATTATATTTATTCTAAATTATGATTTTATTTTCTCTATTCTTTTCACATACGTACAGAGCACATACTGAATGTATACTTTAGAACAAAAAATCAGCGTAGCACTGACAGAAAGCAGTAGTGATTTTAGCACGTCACAGGGACATTGGTACAAATCAGGTTTTAACCCGTATTATACAGATTTTATTACTTTTAAATTGATTAAAAGGGATATACATTACTGTATATGCATGTCTGTGCAGTACAGAATATATCAGATATGTGTGGATGTGTTGAAGTTTCATTTATAATTAATAACAATTTTGTGACTTGTTTGTTTTTACTCGAGTTTGAAGGATTACTGAGAAAACTGAGTGGGTAAACTCCAATCCCATAATGTCAAAAGTTAAAACCAAGTTCTTTTTTCTTAGCTCCTGAAAAGTTAAAGGTTCAGAGGTTTTGATGCAATCTCAGCTCTCCATTGCCCCAAAGCAGCAAAAGTTATTTTGAGCAATACAGATGCAGAGCTCACACCACACAAGAGGAAAAGCACCAGAAGAAATGACCAAAGGTAGTAAACTTTATTCTATTGGGACCATGCATGTTTGTCCAAAATTTCCTAGCAATCCATCTAATAGTTATATATTTCAGTCTAGGGCAAAGTATGAGATTGACTAACATTTCAAACCCCACAGCAATGAAACTAAATGGCTAAATTTCTTAAACAGCACTGATGGTTTTCTGGTCTAGAGATGAAGCTCTACTGTGTACTTTATACTGAAATGCCTCTGACTAATGACTCCTGCCTGTCCAAATATCCAAATCCTCTGAAACTAAAACAGGTCCATACAAACACTGAGAGCAAAAATAACTTTGAAATAACTCATCCCTTGCATGTGTATCAGCCAAATTAATATAGAAGGCTGGTTTACAGTATACAAAATACAAATACTGGCAGATATAAAATAAAATAATGTCCGTAAGTTTGCACTTATGGTCTGCATTTCACACATCAAGGTGGAAACCCGTGAAGAATAAGTTAATGTGCTTTTTGAGTCATCTTTGATTTAACATTCCACCTGTTTTTAAAGATTTAATTACATCAATTCAAGATAACTCTTTTTGTAGGTGTTTATTTCATTTATTTTTAACCACAAATAAGTTCAGTGATGCAGTGCATGAATATACGAAAAAGGATAATGGCCCCCAAATTACAGTATTTTGACACTGAGATTATATTTTCTCACCATGACTGGCTGTGCACTAAAGACAGTCTTAAAGCACTGAGACAGTCAACTTAATGATCCAATACAAGGAGGCAAATTGCTATTATTTGAAACTACTACTATTATCACTTTTTGCCCATCAAGCAGAGTTTTCTCTTCACATAATGCTCTTTGTAGGAGAAGGCTCTGTTACCAATCCGCAAAACTTCTGCAAGGCTACACACAAACACACAATCCTATTTTGAACGATTTATCATTGGCTGTCTGAAAAGGTAAACACATGCGATTCCTTGTGCTTTATTATTGTTTCGACAGCCATAAAATATATATTTTTATCACAATAGTCAAAAATCTGATCTTTAATCCAGCCTGAGTTACTTGTGTTTTATCACCTCCAGTGATTTGTATCCTGCTACAGAGCACAAGTTTAGAACATACCCATGTTTTTTTTTATTCTCCTTACAAAGTAAACATGTACAGTATTGTTTTTTTATTAGTAGTGCATGCAAGTGGGAAATCAAGCAATCAGATCAAAAATCCTAACTACATTAATATGTTCAATTCTTTGTACATTTTCTTCATTCTATTACTGTTTAGGATCACTGTTACCCAAATAATAAATAACTAGAACAATCTTATACAGATTAAGTCTTCAGAGCATGTTTAGTACGTTTAGTTATGAACTGTAACAGAGTGAATGGTTGCAGAGTCTGTCCTGTTGACGAATGTGGTTGTGCTGACAATTATCTTCTATTCTTAACATTGTCCTTTCAGAAAAAAAATATATACAATGAGAACATACATGAATACTAGTCTGAATATTATAACAAAAATAAATACATTGTCTGCAAGGAAATTCAATTCTTCTTCTCTTACTCTCAGACAGATTTGACCACATAAATAGTCTTCAGTTCTGCTGATGAGATGAGCAAACCTGTGCCAAGCAGGTGACAAGCAGAACTCAAAAAATAAATTAAGAAATCAGTGACAGCTGAATTAAGACTTGGAAATGTATGCTTACTGCTATGTTTCCTGGCTGGCAGATAAAGCAGATGACCTAGTTTGCCTTTTAAAATAAGAACAATAATAACTAGCCTGAGAAGCTCCAGCAGCTAGACAATTGGGGGGTTGGGATGGACAAAACAGGAAAAGCAAATATGTGATGAATTCCACAATCACCAGAAGTGTGGTGTCCTGGTACACTGAAAGGAACTGACAACTTTCTCTGAATTTCAGCCAGCAGAGGGCAGTAGAGCAGAGACAATATAGTATATCTATAGGCATAGGAAAACATTTTGTTGTGCGTTAGTATTTAAGAGC